AATCTCTATTTGGCTTCATTCATTTCAGTCTTTAGCTCTGGCCCCTGTCTTATTCTCATGGAATGTGTGTTTATGTATGAATCCTCTTTCAGGCTCTCTCGCCAGCTCCATCTTTGATCCTTTCAGTGCTCTTGTGGGTGCTTCAGGTGGTGTTTATGCCCTCATGGGAGGTTACTTCATGAATGCTGTGGTGGTGAGTAGATTTTAATATTTAATGGGATATAATTAAAAAAATGCAATTCTGATAATGTAGTCAAGTTTCAAATGAAAAAAGTTTTCTTTTTCCTCTAGAATTTCAGGGAGATGATGCCACTTCTGGGAGTGTTTCGCATCCTAGTAATTGTTCTGATTGGTGCGCCCATTTCCACTTTCCATTCATGACATCTTTTTGATATATACTATTACGGTAATATTTGGAAAAACTAAGCACTGTGTCGACCTATTTACTGGAAAATAAAATTTTATTATTTTTTTTCAGTTGGAACAGATGTTGGATTTGCTATTTACAGAAGATTCATTACCCACGAGGCTGGCATGAAGGTGAGACAATTTTGAGACCATAGTAGAATCGTAAACCATATTGAAGAGGTATTGATACCTGAATACCTAGTTACCATACCATGGAATACCTTAGACTAAGATAATAGTCTTGTTAATATACTAGAATGGTCCTTCATATTTGGCTTTTTTGTTAGGTCTCTTTTGTGGCTCATATTGCCGGTGGGGTAGCAGGCATGACCATTGGTTATGTGTTTTTCACCAACTACAATAAAGAGCTCCTGAAGGATCCACGCTTCTGGATGTGCATTGTGGGATACATCGCCGCCTTCTTTTTTGCTGTCATTTTCAACATCTTCTTGTCCCCAGCGCCTGCATGAGGAGTATGTGTGTGTTAAAGTCATGCATCAGTTCACAACGGACAATCATAGCTTTTTAAAAGGAGCAGGTCTCAGGTCAATATGTCAGAATATCCTGTTGGTCTTTAAAGACTTTTAAGGTCGCATGCTAATACACTATATATACATATCTAAAGAAAATAAATGTAATTTTTGGACAGATTTGTAAAATTCTTTCATTTATATCCAAATATTAATTTGGTTTTGCATAAACACTTACTCATTATAGTTTCTCGGGAACAAAGAAAAGTTTAATATTTTATTATTTATATATATATATATATATATATATATTTGGTGGGACCATTTATTTTATATTCACAAAATTAGTGAGCCTTTTTCAGGCTTGTCTACAAATTGCTGTCAAGACTAAACAGCACAATTTAATTGAACTTAATTGATTTGTAGGAAGCCAAAAATGAGCTTTGTGGTTAAAAAGAAAATACTTGGCATGTAGTTTTTATTATTATTATTATTATTTGATAAAACTCGATATACTTAGATTTTAAATGTTTTTCAAATTTTTTAGATTCAGAATATTTGAGATGTCATAATAATACAAGTAGAGGGCAGCACTGATCAGCATGTGGACAGACCTCCACCTGAAGTCACACCAATGTAGTTTCAATGTGATATTGCATTGCAAGTTATTGACCTGTAATCAAAAGGAAATGTCATTTCAATGCTAATGATATGCATCTACAGTTACTTTAAATATTTATAATTGATGATCAAATCATTAAGATTCAGAAATGGGTTTAAGGCATGAAATGTGGTGGCAATTTGGAGAATCGTGTCATTTTTAAAGATATTGTACAACACTTTAAAACCATATGGGTCTGTTTCATTTAGTAGTATTTATGTGTTTTACATATAGTTGTTTTATGAACTGGTTAATGAATTTGGATGTGAAATAAATGCTGTGCTATGCTGAACCAAGGTGAAGTGAGTTTACAACGGAAAGCATCCCACAACAAATGCTGTCCTCTGTTCCTCTGCTCCCTCTGTTCTAATTAGCTGATGGTAGTTCTCCAAAACAGAGCATCGATTGCTGCCCAATATGGATACAGTGTTCTTGCCAGTCTAGACACAACATTGCAGGTATTTTCAGTTCACAAAAATAAATTTGAACTGTTTTCATTACAAATGTATGTGAGCTATTATGATGGCAGTTTAGTGTTCACTGAGGTCCTTCATATTTATATGGCGTGTTTGCTGCAGGGGAAGCTTGTTAAAATGACTTACAAACCCCACTAACAAACTCCAGCCACATGGCATAAAATAGTTCACTGATCGTTCAAGCATTATGTCGTGAAGTGATCCTATATTATACTAATGCAAGTCCTCACCCTTGCTGCATAATAAACTCAATATCTGTGTGCCATTGAGTATTCAGTGGATGTTTCTGAAATTTACAGAACTATTCTATACCTGGTGTGACCTGTAAGTCCTCAAAGGGCATTTAAGGATGAGAAGAGGAGCTTTTGCTATGAGGCTGATTTTCCACTTTACTGACCAATCACATCAATTAGGTAAATTTATGACTAACAGAACGTTCCGGTACAAACCAGAATTTGGGTCGTGAATCAAATCAATGCATGAGGCTCCTACCCCTGGAATAATATGTATTAATCTAATTCTGGGCAATTTTTAGAACTTAATTGACAGTCTGGGGCTGTGTTTTCAACTAAATGTTCATCAAAAGTTTAATTCTTTGACCCCGAGTAACACAGAAATGTGATCGGCCACCACCACCACATTCCCCTGCTGCCCCTGCCTCCCACAACCAGATGCTTCATGTTCCAATCTATTGTTAGATGTAGAAATGCATAATAAGTTTGGGTTCATTAAGATTGTTTTTTGAAAAAAAATGTAATTGAGCAAGGATGCATTCAATTAATCAAAAGCGATGGTAAAGACTTGTACAGTTTTACAAACAAATACATTTTAAACTTTCTATTTATCAAAGAATCCTGAAAGAAGTCTTCCACAAAAATATATAGCAGCACAGCTGTTTTCATCATTGATAATAAGAAATGTTTCTTGAGCACCAAATCAGTATATTATAATGATTTCAGAAGGATCATGGTACACTGAAGACTGGAGTTATAGCTGCTGTGTAATCAGTTTTGCCATCACAGCAATACATTTAATTATGTAAAATATAATAATTTAATTTAAAATTGAATTACTATATATATTAATCACTATAAAACATTAATTGAATATTTTAATCATTTTAAATAATTAAATGACATAAAATATATTACATAAATAACAGTTTCTTTTTAAATTGTAATACTATTTCACATTGGAAGTCATGGCCTAATGGTTAGCGAGTCGGACTCGTAACCCAAAGGTTGTGGGTTTGAGTCTTGTACCGGCAGGGATTGTAGGTGGGGGGAGGGAATATACAGCGCTCTCTCCCACCTTCAATACCATGACTGAGGTGCCCTTGAGCAAGGCACTGAACCCCCAACTGCTCCCCAGGTGCTGCAGCAAAAAAATGGCTGTCCACTGCTCCGGGTGTGTGTTCACTGCTCTGTGTGTGCACCTTGGATGGGTTAAATGCAGAGCACTAATTCCAAGTCACTTTCAATATTACTGTTTTTACAGTATTTCTAATCAAATGTAGCCTTGGTGAGCATAAGAGACTTCTTTCAAAATCATAAAAAAATCGTACAGACCTCAAACTTCTGAAAGGTATCGTATATATTTAGCTTTTATGCAATATGGTCATTTTGTTCTTGCTGACCCCATCTACAATGGATGTGTTGACATATAATGATATATAAGTGATGTACGCTTAAATCTTAATTTAAGTTTAGGAGCAGACTAGAATGGTGTTTTAATATGTTATTTTTTCTTTCTTTTTAAAAAAAAAAAATATTATTATTAATATGATCATGGAAGGTCGTAAAATAGTTAAATTTTAATCTGGGAGCACATCAGGGAGCATAAAATGCATTCAAGCCAACCTAATATGCCTCTCTTTTTAAAATACCAAAGTTTTAATTTAGTTATTCATTAAAATCATGCCTAGTATGAATCAGATTGTGTAATGAAGAGGCTCACTCACTACGTTAAATAGGGCTTGCCTGATATGCCCCTAAATAGATGTCGCAGGATGAATCCAACCAACAGCGTATACTTAGTGAGCGTAATGGGATTGCACCATTGATTTCTTTTAAAAGGAATAAAATATCACCACAGCTAGCAGAGACAACGTAATTACATTGGGCTGGACCCAGCAGAGTATGAAATCGGACATGACCGATTGATTGCTTCCCGAAGTATTGACTACAAAATGTAGTGCCAACACGTGGCCAAATGCCATTAGAAAGCGTTGCGCTTAGCTGTGAACAATTTCATGGAATAAACAATAATTATCAGCCTTTTGCTGTTTTATTCAACATTTCACCAATTAAAACAAGTCATTGTTTTGGTTATATGTGCTGCTTCTCCATTTCTCTATACAAAACGTGGAAATCCACCAGTAGACGCGCGCGTGCGTTTAGTTCAGGCTTGCGCTTACAGTTGAGCTATTTTTGCAACTCAGCAAGAAAAGGGGAAACGGGTAACGGGTAGCGGGTGTTAACTAGCAATCAAACATGCAAGACCGTATACTCCGATTAAGAGCGGGTGCATAAGAGCATGAACATACTGACATACAGAAGCAATGCGCTTGCCAACAGACCCGTGCGTATTCGGAAACCTTCTTTTGGTGCCAACAGAGAGAAAAGAAGGGGTCACAAAAGTTCAGGTGATATGCTGCGTCAGATGTGCAGGTCACCAACGATTTTTAAATATTTTGGCGGCCTCGTCGCGCTTGTATGACCCGCGGGGATTTCAAGCACCGGCAGTCTGCGCATACTGCTGTAAGGTAAATGGCATCGCTTACAGTATTGATTTCTCCTGCATGACTATAAGTTGGCACCAATAAGACCTGCTTGTTTTGCGTTTAGTCGAGACCTTTAACAATGACCAGTATGACATGAGTCTAGCTTTTTGCACTTAAAGTGTAGGCGTTGGAGTAGCTTTTGAGTTGCCATGAAGACTTACTTAACTTCCTCCTTGTTTTTTTAAGGTATGTTGGTGTTTACTATGTTTACTTTTAACAAGATGCTTAGAACGTCGACACCGCAATGCACTGATTGATTGTATTTTGTAGCACTGCATGTTTTCTTTCTTTTTTCTTTTTTTTTTTTTACTATTTAATAATTTGAATAGTATTAAGACTGCTGTAATTATACCTGATATCAATTAAAAAGTTTGTAATTATATAATTAATAAAAAAAAAATTTTTTTTTAGATTGTTAAATTCAGGTCTAAATTAATTTTTTTTTAAAGATAAAAGTAAAAATATATTATTATTATTATTATAAGCTTTCTGCATTTTCACTCTTTTCAAAACTGTAAATATATAATAAAAAAAAGAATAATTATACCCAAATTATACCATACACCTGGGACCATTTGTAAACATTTAAAAAATCTTTCATTGAAAAACTCATTTTGATCTACCATTACTCTGAATTTTGTTGGGGTGATTTAAGTGTTTATGAATGAATTTTACCATACACCTTACTACTTTTATGCTTGTGATGGAGACTTTGTGTTCTTGCATCAGTAGTTTCAGTCTCGCATTCAATTTTTGTGTCTATTTCTTATGTTATTTCTTCCTAGTTTTGAAATAAGTCTCCAATGGTTTATGCATTTATATAAATATATTAGGTTGCAAGATGTTCATATTTGCTCTGGGAAAATGTCAGTTTAAAATAAAAGTGACAGTAATGATGAAAGACGTATGCTGTAAAATCATTTAATAGTCTGGTACTTCTTTTTTCAATGCATGAAAATGCGACCCACAGTCTATTTTTTTTTCTTTTGACATTTTTAAATTATTTTCTTTTTTGGAGGTTTTCAGATACAATTGAAAGACAACTAACAAACACAAAATATATAGAAGGGACATTAAATTAGATTGCATATGGTGACACACTGTTATCTACAGATATTATGAAATACAAACATAAATGTTTCTATTTTAGGGTTTGATGGTATGTAGCAATGCAATGGCAAATCAAGTCTCTAAGTATAAAAAGAATGGGGACCAAATTTAGTTGAACGTTTCAGTTCTTACAAATAATACAGCATTTCACAGATGCTATTTTTCCATATTGAAGTAGGCTATGTTGTTAGCAGATTCCGCCAGAGGTTTATTGAAAGTTTTGGTCTGTCTTTCCATTTGAGTTAAAATAGTTTTATTTTGCTTTAGTCTGTGAAATGAGTAAGACAGTTTCTTGGTGTTTGGATATAGCTAGTGTAGTCAAGTCTCCAAGTAATGCTACTTTAGGACACATTCCGACCAAAAGTGTTGAACGTGTTGGCAGAGCCCCAGTCCATTTTCATGATTCTTGCTCCTTAATCCCTCTCTTAACAGACACAAACATGCCAGAGTAAAGATGGGAGACTGGAACTTTCTTGGTGGGATTTTGGAAGAGGTGCATATCCACTCCACCATGGTGGGGAAGATCTGGCTGACCATCCTCTTCATCTTCCGCATGCTGGTGCTTGGGGTGGCAGCGGAGGATGTGTGGAATGATGAACAGGCTGACTTTATCTGCAACACCGAGCAGCCTGGTTGCCGCAATGTGTGCTATGACAAGGCATTCCCCATTTCCCTCATCCGCTACTGGGTGCTGCAGGTCATTTTTGTTTCTTCACCCTCGCTAGTGTACATGGGCCATGCTCTCTACCGCCTCCGTGCCCTTGAAAAAGAACGGCAGCGCAAAAAATTGGCACTGAGACGTGAACTCGAGACCGTGGATGTAGAGATGGCGGAGATACGACGCAAAATAGAGCGTGAGCTTCGGCAGATTGACCAGGGGAAGCTGAACAAAGCTCCGTTGAGGGGGTCTCTTCTGCGCACCTACGTGGCTCACATAGTCACCCGCTCGGCCGTAGAGGTGGGTTTCATGACCGGACAATATGTTCTGTATGGGTTTCAACTATATCCGCTCTACAAATGTGAGCGGGAGCCCTGCCCGAATGCGGTGGATTGCTTTGTATCTCGACCCACTGAAAAAAGCGTCTTCATGGTGTTCATGCAATGCATAGCTGCCATCTCATTGTTTCTCAACATCCTGGAGATCATGCACCTGGGCTACAAGAAGCTTAAAAAGGTCATCTTGAACTACTACCCACAGCTGAGGGACGATCTCGATGACAGCTACTATCCCAACAAGCTGAAGAAAGATTCGGTGGTGCATCAGACATGCTTCGGCACCTCCACTGGCCACAAGGCCACCATTGCATCTGCACCTTGTGGATACAACCTTCTTCTTGAGAGACCACCTGATGGAACCGCCTACCCTCCTTTGATCAACCCATCCTCTGCTTTCTTGCCTGTTCAGGGTGATTTGCCAGCTAAAGATGGTTCTGATGCACCAAAGTACTCGCAGAATAGTCACACGAAGCACAACAGCAATTCCAACAACACCAGCAGTGATACGTGTTCACCGCCTTGCAACTCCGTCACACCGCCGAAACAAGACGAAGGGGAAGATTCTGTCCACCCTCCACCTCTGCTCAAGAAAGGCCAGGATTCTAAGACTTCAGACTACACCAGGGAATCTTCTCACACATCATCCGGCATGGGAAAGAAGCCATGGAAGGTCAGTGCACCCTGGAACTGCTCAACGGTTGTAGAAGGTAATGGATCAGACACGGATTCCCTGGAAGGAGCTAAGGCCCGCTGTCCTTACGCCGCTGTGCGGGCACGTACTTCATCCAGATCTGATTCCAAAATGAGCAGGCCCACCTCTCCTGATTCAATAGAAGAATCTAGCTCTGAGTCACGGCATAGTCCACGAGCATCACCAAGCCATTGCGCCTCATTGGCCAGCAGTTCCAGTAGCAGACGAGCAGCTCCTACAGACTTACAGATATGAGAAAACTTCATTATATACAGTACATTCACTATTGATGGTAGCCATGTCATTTGCACAGTTATATAGTGATGGAAAATGACTCCAATCTCAGACTAAAGTTTTATATTCAACTCTTTAATCCTTAATGGATTGTTTATGCTCTCTTTTTACATACATATCAATTTAACAGTACACACTGACAGTATATTGAATTAACAATAGTAGTATGACTACACTAGAGAGATTGTACGTTTGATTATGCATGCCTTGTTCTCACCTGGACACCTTGTTCTCTTTTTGAGTGCTTCCTGCATCAGAAGTCAAAATGATGTAATGGTAAAAAAAAATAAATAAATTTCAATACATTGTGCTTTAATAGAGCAGCTGTAAAAATCTTCAAAAATTACTGTTGTGAAAAAATTAATTGTTTTATGTGCATATGTCATATTAACAGATGAATAAACTGGTCTGATTTACAGTGCAATTAAGACAGATATCGAATCTTTCTTTAAGTCTGTTTTTTTTCTAAGTGTATGGACACCAGTGTTTCAAAATTATTAGTCTAAGAGAGATTTAACAAGCAAAATAAATAAATTTTACTTATGTTTAATTAGTATTATGATGAGAATTTAGATGATATAAAAAATATGCATAATAGATGTACATATACTGTGCATTATTTAACCACGCACACATGCTTTTATCAGCAAAATGAAGCTAAACCAAAGTTAAGTACCAAAATATCCAACAGTTTCTTTGCACAGGCTTGAAATTAACTTCAAATTAAAATTTAAAATACTTCTTGTATTTAATATGGTTTTGTGCTTTTTTGTATGTTGTCTGTTGCTGTTATTGTCAGCTTAAAAATGTTATTGTCATTGCTTCATGTCACACTATGGTACTAAAGAAAGTTTCTTTAAGAAACTATTCTTGTTCTTGTCTTACACTTAACTATAAAGAGAAGAATCATAAATGGGAAGTGTTACCTCACATTAAAAGGGGACAAACAGCCATTTGAAAGTTGTTATTATTTTAACAACACAGTCCAGTGAATTAATTATACAGCTCAAAACCAGACTATTTTAAGTGCTAACAGCACCATCTACTGGAATAAAGCCTATAGATATGTATTTTGAGTCCTCACACACAAAATATACTTTATACTACGACTTGAGATATTAGCAATTAAATGCTGCTCTAGTTTTCGTGTTAGGAACTAGATCGGTTGTACTTCCTTGCTGTTTTAGAAAAAGAAAGCATGGTTGAATAACAAAACAAACAAAACACAATCCATCTGTCTTCCAAACAGTTGTTCAGATGAACCTGTTTCTTCAGACAGCTCTACATTCCTATTCAACTTTTGAATGGAAAGCTTTTGCTATTATCATTTCAAGAAGTCTTAATTAAGATCCAATCCTTTATACTTTATTTGGTGGTGTCCTAACCACAAAAATATTGTCTTCCCAACACTACGTTGATCAAATGTACCTTTTAAATTTATATTTTATCAATTTAATTGACCTGTGCTGCTAAAAACTGAACTAAAGTGCAAAAGTTTTGTAACCTGACTGAGTCTTCAGTACATCTGTGCATATACATTAGTAAAACAATAACAACATTGGCTTTAGTCTGCCATGTGACACATTGGTCAGTCAATGTTGTTATTGTCTGAAGACCTAACCTTTAATCAGCCTGTCGTTTAACTGGTACACATATGAATTATGTGTGGCATAACTTTCATTATTACATTAAACAACAGACTGTTTAAAGCTTTTGAAATCTAAAAATAGTTGTCCAAATTAAATTGCTGTCTTGATGTCATATGAACATATTTACATGGTAAATAGATATGACCAGAGCATAACAAATGACCAGAGATGTTAATTTCAGTTTACCCATCTGAAAGATGTCTGTGTTACGTCATAACATGTACAACTAACATATTGGCATGCATAATGTTAAAATGGTATATTAACCAATGTATTAAATAATAAATATAGTTAAACAAACAAATAAACAAATAAATAAATATGCTATTGTTTGCAACTTTCTATTTGGTGTTTGACATTGATCAAGCCAACAATTTTAACATTGTAGTTTTCCCACTAGTTACTTATTTATTCATTTATTTGTTATTTTTATTTGCTTTATTTTATTTTTTAAAGAAAGGGCATACAGGTTGTTTCATATCCAAAAAGCAAAATGTAGGCTATGTGCCACTTAGCGTGGACAATGGGATTTAACGAACATTTATAAACGAACATTCATAAACAACATTTAACATTTACCAACAAATCTTTATCAGCATTTCAAGATAAGAAATACCGTTTCAGATGACAGGTCGGAAAAAAACACCCATTCACACAAATCCGTTTGTCAGGTGACCATCAGGCACATGACTTGCAACGATCCCACCCACATTTTAATAGCTTAGTAGAGTGACACTTTATTTATCCAATCAGCATACGAGTTACCGGGCGGCCACCCAATTACACTCGAGTGTCGATTTTAAGTGGGCGTTTCATCCAGAAGGGGAAACGCAAGAGACTGAAGATTTAAAGGAGAATCCATAAGAAGTTTGCTCTCATGTATTTATACGATAACGAGGTTTTACGTTTGTTCGCCAAGCATTAATTTCGTGCTGGTTGGATTACTGAAAATCGGCCAGGTTATATTTTAAAGGGGTTGGGGCGGGGGTTAACATGTCGATCCAGTACGAGGCACCGCTGGCGGACAGTTACGGGGTGGCGGACTCGTTTCCCAAAGATTTCGGATATGGAGAAGAAGGAGACATTGAGGACAGTCCCACTCCCTCCGACAGCAAACCGAGAATCCTGCTGATGGGATTGAGGAGGAGCGGAAAGTCCTCTATCCAGAAGGTAGGAGGAAGAGATGATATTTAGAGCGTCTAGGTTGTCGTTCCCATATGGTCGTTACCCTGCTGACTTCTTAGCCGAGGGAGCTAGAACCGGGTCAGAGCCGTTCCGGGCTGCTGCCTAGCTGTCACTGGGCACGGGCAAGAGCACCACTTAGAGCCCTTACAACCAACCTATTTCTTAAGCAGCGGTGGATTTATGGAGTTGGATGCCATACAGACCAAAATACATCACACTCATTCAGTTGACTAAGAAGGATACATGTAGCATTATGTGCATGCCATGTTAATATTGTGATAACTCACCCGGCATTGATGTGGCACGTGATTTCTTCATTACAAAACCTAAAATGCTTATTCATATATTCATCCTTCACCACACCATCTCAATGCACATTATGTAGCTCATACGTACAGAAATAGGTGACTAGAAGACACTTTTCTGACATTTGGAAGTAGTTATAATTCTTGAGGACGATCAGTTTTCTTTTACTGTCTTTGCGCATCTTTATAAACAAAGGGTATTCATTTCGTATAAATTGCGTGTTAAATGCATCTCGCATGTATTACTTGTGTTGGTTAGGAAATATAGCCATTATAGATGCACTTAGTAATATTTGCTAATTAAAAAAAACGTACAAAAAGTAGTTAACAGCGCTTTTGACAGATTATTAAAATCCTGAGCAATCACATGGGATGAAAACTACACAGTCTACTAGAAAATGCTGTTTTATTGTACATGGAGCGGGTCGCCCCCTCTTGGGCGCTGCCATGGTGATGTCACATGACCTACTGTGTCATGTAATTGATTGAGATTCTACTACTGATAATAACAATAGTAATATTAAAGCTGCAAGCAGTGATGAAAGGGCCCTCGCACCCGGGCTCACCGCCACCCGGTGGCTTTTGGAAAAGAGCAAAGAGTGGGCAATATGCATTTAAAGTGGTAAATATAAGAGGAATATGTCAAAGTCATTTATATGCGCCAAACTTCCTGCTGCCAGCTGGTGGCGCTATGATTATAACTGGACGTTGGCATATAGATGTCTTCAGGCCAAGACTTTTATCAAACATTGCGATTCACTTTGGAGAAGAAGAAGAAGAAGAATAATAAGAAACGGAGCAATTCCAATAGGGTCCTCACACCATCGGTGCTCGGGCCCTAATTAAGTTTGTCTGATATAGCGTTTTAATGAAAACATAAATATAAAAGTACCAAACAGTATAACAAGAAACACCATACAAACAAGCAGTTCCTGTCGGTGTCTGTAGTCATGACTCCCCGCAGTTTCCACGCCATCAGTTGAAGATAAATGCTGCATCATCAAGCACTGAACACGAACACATGACAGTCATAACTGCTGTACCGTGAAACTTCCTTGACGTACCACTTGATCACAGTAAAAAAAAAACTAAAAAGTGTGTAAGCAATGTGTTGTTGTTGTTGTTATTTTTCTGGCAAAGTGACATTAGTGTCTATTTGGCAACAGATGAAGTAAGCGCCTTAATTTGTGATTTAACTTTTATCACTACTGAAACAACAGAAAACCCTTTCAAAACTTATATAATTGTATCATATTTTTTTTGTTTTGACTTTTCATCCATAAATATTAAGTCCAAAACCATTGGTACCATTGGGATGATTATTGTCAGCTAAATGTAATTAAAAAACGTATTGAGTGCATCTTTAAAATGCCTATGATTGGCATGTCTATACGATTTAAGAATGTAAAATTTGAAGCCTCTGAGACTTAAGTCTTGCCACCAGTAAGCTCCTCAAAGTCCATGAAGCATGTGACTTGGCTTTTAGTTTGATTTCACAATTGTCTGACTTTATTACTCTCCCACCGGAGGTGAAACTGGGCACTTTGAGAATGCTTTTTAATGTGTCAAATGTCTTTTGCCTTATTAGGTGGTGTTTCACAAGATGTCCCCCAATGAGACCCTGTTTCTGGAGAGCACCAACAAGATCTATAAAGATGACATCTCCAGCAGCTCCTTTGTCAACTTCCAGATCTGGGACTTCCCTGGACAAGTGGACTTTTTTGATCCAACCTTTGACTACGAGATGATTTTCAGAGGAACTGGGGCCTTGATATTTGTCATCGATGCACAGGTGCAACAAGAAATTCAAATCTTTGACACTAATTAGTGTGCACACCCAAACGACATAGTGATGTAGTTCTGTCAGTAATTCGAGACGGCTTGATTCTTTTGTGAAACGTTATAATTATAAATACTGACCAGGTTTGTCTTATTCATTGGTGGAATATGTAAAGTTTTAAGCAGATTAAACTGGGTTTATCAGTATCTGTTTGTTTATATGATATTTCAAAAAGAAAGTCATTGTTATTAGGCTAATTAATCAATAAAATTGTCATTAAAAAGGAACTATTTTTTATTTTTATAGTATGGAAAAACAAATATTATGGAACTCAACGGGGACCAGAAACTATTTGTTTAACCACATTCTTCTAATATCTTCATTTTTGGGTGAACTGTCCCTTTAATGGTTGTAAATAGTTGGTTTATTTAAATCTTGGCATTGAGTTCAGAAATTCTGGTTTTATTTAATTGAATGTTGTTTGTCATCGAGGCTTAGCTTATTGGATCACATTGGCCTAAAGTAAAAATAGGTACAAGATTGACTTTGTGTTTCTGCTGATACAGGGCAGTCCGTGCTGTTTTCTCTCAGCCCTTCAGTCTTACTTCTAGCTGAAAGTTATTTAAAGTATGGTCGATTAGATTGCAGATTTGTAAACCCTTTTACCAGTTGAAGTCTCAACTACAGCAGTGTGTGATATCACACACACACACACACACAAACAAACAAACAAACAAACAAACAAACAAGAAGAGTTGTTAAAGTTCTGCTATATTCTTGCATCATTTATGTGTATAGTTCTGTTTTATACATTTGTTAAATTGCAATTTACAATTTGTTTGGTAACCTCAAGTACAGCATTTTCTCTAAACCTGGCCAACCTCTACATTGTACATTGGCAACTCATACCATCTTGCATTCTTCCTCTGTATCACAGGATGACTATGTGGAGGCCCTTGGTCGACTCCACCTAACAGTATCACGCGCCTACAGGGTCAACCCAGAGATCAACTTTGAAGTGTTCATCCATAAAGTAGACGGCTTGTCTGATGACCATAAGATTGAGACCCAGCGGGATATACACCAGAGGGCTAACGATGACCTGGCAGACGCCAGTTTAGAGAAACTACATCTCAGGTAAACATTTGCATTTTTATTTCGAATGCTGTTTATTGATTGAAATACTTCTTGACCCATAATATGTGCCACTATTTATGCGATTTGAGAAGATAGAACAGAAATCCTGCTCTGATGTAGATGTGTAGTGATTAAAAAAAATTTAAATTATAATTGGTATTTTTTAATGTGATGTTCTTAATGATTAAATTATTCAGAACAGCTAATTAATTTGTGAATATGGGGAAAATTAATTTCTGAAGTCTGATTGATATTTGTTTCTGGGTTTGTCTATTTTACGTCACTAAAAGCAGAGAAACTGTTAAATCAGAGCCACTCTGGTGTTGACTTGATAATGGGTGTAATGGATTGATGTCGAAAAGTGGTTCTCTAAGGAAATTGTGATATTAGTGTTTTTCATGAGCTCTGTGTTAAATCTCAGCAATTATAGGCATTTGCTAAATTAATTTGGTCAAATTTTAAATAGAGTGCCACTTATGGCTGAATCCGATTACATGTTTTTTTTTTCTGCTTTCTTCACTAATGCTTTAGAATCTCCTGGTACTTTTTACCAAATGTAAAGATGAATATGCAGCTCTCAAATCTCTGATCTAGGAGTGTGTGTGTGCTCAATGGTGCATTATCTGAAAATATTTGCATTTGCATTATTTGTCTGTATCAATCTATGGCGTCTTTGATCACCTCAAATAAATAAATATGCTTTGTTACATAAAAAAAAGTGTGAAACATTTTTAAACGTTTTAGTTGTCCGAAATGTTGAAAAAGTGAAAAAGCATAATTTTTGGTTGCTGTTTAGGTTACTATAGTTTTTGGAAACCAATATGAGTATTTGGATTTTAGCATCTTGTGCCCAGCCTTTCTAGGTATTAACGCTTACACAAATGCATTATTTACGTGCTGAAGCCTTAAAAGCCAGAAGCTTGTTTTCCTTCAGCTCTGTTCAGTACAGCAGTATGAGTGTATGGTTCAAGGAGGCTTGAGTGGTCAGTGTCTCTTGAACAACAGGCAAGTGTGAATTTCATGAATACTTGGCATGTTCTGCATACTGTGATCAGCAGTTTCAGATATATCTGTGTAGGCCTGTCACGATAACAACTTTTTGTTGTGCGATATATTGCCCCAGAAATAATTGCGATAATATCTGTGGTTTTCATAGCTAACACAACCCTGGTAATATGAATGAATTGTTATTTAAGTAGGACAGAATAATGTGTGCTGATTTATTCAGAATTAACCTTAATAATATAATCCTCAAATGAATGTGAATATTAGAATTACTCGCACTGCAGTTTCTCAGTTTTGTCATCTTTAATAATTGGCACCAACTGTCATTTCATACAAGTTGCTCATTATATTTGCACATTAGACCAGTGCGATATTAGAGGATATTTTTTTGTTAAAGGTTGCTGTCAAACACTGCAGAGCCTTTATGCCACTTTTGTTCTGCCAGATTTTGGTTTCCTTTTTTTGGTCTTTGTAACATTTCTGTTCATTGGGCAGCAGATCTGTTTACACTGCAATGTTTGTCTCCCAAATGTGTAGTCTATAACACTGTTTTTACATGAATACCCTACTAAGATGGGCAGTTTGATCAAAAAGTGCATTTAACTGTTTGCCACTCACACATATCCATGTGATATTGCAGTTGTCAGGAGTGGTGTTTAGTCCTGAGAAACGTTTCTTTAGCTACCCTGCAATTTGGTTTGAATAGTTGTACTGTTTACACATGTGCAACAAGGTTTGATCTGTGCCAGATAATGGAAGAAAAAAAAACTTAATTGGTTCACTGTGTAAATGTGGCCATAATGACCCCCCCC